AAATCGTATAAGGATTATACGCCTCACGAGGGAGTGGAACTCTCAATCTACTAATGCTGTAGAAAAATTACCCTTTCTTTGGCACGAGCAGTTTGTTTCCGGAGTTGTTTGCCGAACAATTCGCTCATCTCCTTGTAGCGCCAGAAGCGAAATTATCCTAAAAATTGATTTTCTGAGCTATTTTTTTCCGGAATTACATAAAAACGTCGATAATCGATGGGCATAGGTGGAACGATTCAACGAGTACAAACATTTTCATTACATCTGTAGGGCAATTAAACACCGAATACAGACGTACAAGCACAACCGGTAATATTAGTCATCAGAGCTACAGCATTGGCCTCTGCGCCACCTCACTGACTCCACACAGCAACAGTATGTAGAAAAATCAGCCACGAGAGCAGCGAGGAACAGAAAGAATGTTAAGAATATAGCACGAGAAAAAAAATAACGAAAAAAATGAAAAAAGAAAACTCATTTCACTCAAAAGTGTAGCAGAATATAAAATTTTGAAAAAAATAATGAAAAAGTTCATTTTATTCAAAAAGAATAAAAAATAGGGTATATCAGCAATGGATGAAAGAAGAGGAAGAGTAAAACAAGGTAAGAGATGAGAATTACAAAAATTTGTAAATTATAAGAATTATTTTAATGATAACAAATGTTTCGGTAAATTTTATTCAATGTTATAAAACAATAATAACGAAAATATACGATTTTTTTTTATTTTCATTTGTGCGCATAAATTTTATACGACCTAAACTTTTATTTACAAAAATTAAAAAAAAAAGGTTCATTTTGCTCAACAGCACAGCAATGTCCAAAATGTTTTATATGATAATAACGAAAATATAAAACTTTCCTATTCTCATTTGTTCACGCAAATTTTAAATGACCTAAACTTTTATTTATAAAAACTGAAAAAAAAAGTTAATTTTACTCAACAATATAGCAATGTTCAAAATTTTTAATGCGGTAATAGCGGAAATATACGATTTTTTTTATTTTCATTTATGCGCATAAATTTTGTATGATCTAAATTTTTATTTGTAAAAATTGAAAAAAAAATCATTCTACTCAACAGTGCAACAAAATTCAAAATGTTTTATACGATAATAACGAAAATAAAAGATTTTTTTTTCTTATTTCCATTTATTTGCGTAAATCTTATACGCGTAATTTTTATTTATAAAAGTTGAAAAAAATCATTTTACTGAACAGTGCAACAACCTTTAAAATGTTTTACACGATAATAACAAAAACACAAGATTTTTTTTAATTTACATTTATTTGCGCAACTTTGCAAGACCTGAAGTTTTATTTATAAAAGTTGAAAAAAAAAAAAAAAATTCATTTTACTCGACAGCGCAGCAGTGTCCAAAATGTTTTACACGATAATAACGAAAATATAAATTTTTTTTTTCTTATTTCCATTTGTTCACGCAAATTTTAAATGACCTGAACTTTTATTTATAAAAATTGAAAAAATCATTTTACTCAACAGCGTTGCAATGTTCAAAATGTCTTATACAATAATAACGAAAATACAAGATTTTTTTTTTTATTCATTTATTCGCGTAAATTTTATGCGACCTAAATTTTTATTTATAAAAGTTGAAAAAAAAATTCATGTTATTCAATAGCGCAGCAATGTTCAAAATGTTTTAGACGATAATAACGAGAAAGAAAGAATTTCCTTTCGTATTTTCATATGACCTAAATTTTCGTCTGACCTGTATATTGTTCTGCTTATTTGATCTGTTTACTTGTTCTGCACATTGATTTTTAAATAAACAGTCGTTGAAAAACGAAAATTTAGTATAAAAGCATATGTGGTAAAACAAAGAGGAAGAAAGAGAACTACGGCATTTGATTATCCGAGCCTTTTGGGGATCCAGAAACACCCCCCTCCCTTCAAACAACTTCCAAGTTGGCTAAAGCATATCCGGAAACAGCAGGCCGAAGAACACTTAGCCGCTCGGAGCAGTTATTTACTACAATGATGAAGCTAACGGACTCGAAATCCGCAAAAATCTGATGCGATGCATCCATCGGCAAAGAAAAAAGGAGCAAAATTGTTCAGCCACTGATCAGCCGAAAGATAACATTTCTCAACTATACATAAGATCAAACGTTCCTATACGTATAATTTTTCAATTATTAAAAGTAGCGAAATTTGATGGTCAGAGTATGTTGCTCGCCATGTTAATAACCGGCGAATAAATAAATAAAAAATAAAAAAATTAAAAAAAAAACTAAAGATTAAAATGTAAACAAAACTGGAAAAATAAAAATTGAGACTGAAACGGTAAATACTGTATGTACACAAGGAAATTAGATGCCAATAATCAGTGCATAAATGAACAAATAAAAATAAAAAACAACTGAAAAAAATAAAAATTAAGGTGTACTTAAGACTGGAAAAATAGAAATTGATATTTAAATAATAAATATTATCCATGCACTTTAAAAAATTAGAAATACAAAAGTTAATTAAAACAGCTAAACAGGAATGTTTCAGTCCATCTGAGCGACATTAGACGTGACCTGCGAGAGAAATAAATAACCACTTGGACATGCATTGAAGAGGTAATTCAGTGAAAAATCGTTAAGCACTAACTGGAGGTATGCAGTTCCGGATTGAACGGCCTGGTGCAGCTGCTCCCAACATGTGGGGGGGATTCATCCCAAAATGATGCTCACATTGACTGTTAAGGGTGGTGGATTCGGTACTCTTGGTGCGCATATTACATGTATATATATGTGCATATATAATTTGTTTATTCGACCAATTGTTTAGTTTCTATTCCATTCATTTGTTTATCTACTTCCCATTTTATTTGCGCATTTGTTTACTTATTTATTTACTTGCTTATTTACTTGTTTACCTACTCACCTGCCTATTTTCGCATATATTTGCTTGTTTGCTTACTTATTTACTGGCTCATTTGTTTACTTATTTACCTATTTGTTTTTTTCATTTACTCGTTTGTTTGCGTCTTATTTACTTATTTCCTGTCTCCTTTTTCCTCATTTACTTATTTGTTTATTTATTCACCCGTTTGTTTACCTGTTCACTTATTTGCTTGTTTATTTACCCACCTATTCATATATCAACCCATTTATTTGCTTATTTATGCCAAAAATTTTTCCAACCACACATATATATATATACATATATATGTTTATTTACACTAAGAATTTTTCCAACTATATATAGTCTCAAAAATTATACATATAAACATATATACATATATAAATACATATAATCCGGAAGACTTATGTACTAAAAAATGCGTTTTTCTGATCAGCCACCGCTGGATTTTCCTACATACCT